AAAAAAAAAAAAAAAAAGCAGGACCTTTAGATTAGGTCTCCAAAGGGCTTGCTTGCAAAGGGACTTGTGGGACAAACTGGCGATTTTTTATTTTTTTAACTTTGTTACAGGGCACATGAATCCACCAGAAAGACAGAGTGGGTAGGGTGGGAGGAGGAAGAAAGTAAGAAATCGCCTCCAGTGGGAATAGCCACGCTGCAATCCCTTCTCCTCTATTCCGCTCCCAGGACTTTGGGCATGAGCGCACAAACATGTGCCTAGTGTGTTTTTCAGCCAGGTCTGGGAATCAAACTGTATAGTCAGCCATGTGGGATCCAGCCACCTTAACCACCACACCACTGGCTGGCCCCAAATTGGCAATTTAAGGGAAAGTGAAAGTCATACAGGTATTTAGGGATTAGGGAGACCAAATTATTTCGAAGTTATTATATCTTGAACTCTTTTGGCCTCAGCTAAGTAAATGCAAAAGGTTTCTATGGCAGTTAGATGTCTTAGAACTGAATTTGGCTCCAGAAATTTCTCCTCTGGCTGAGGACCAGCAAGTGTCATCCCTGGTGACCCGAGGAAGAGGAAGTCAGCTGCTATTAACAGTAATTGTACCCTAGTTTAGGTCACTCTCTGCAGGGCTCCAGGAAAGGACTGGGAGTTCGGATTACTCTCTCCCAGCGGGTCCCCCTGGAGAGCGGGGGAGGGGGACACATGAAAGTGGTGGAACCCACAGCTAATGAGACAACCGGAATGCTGGAGAGAGCTGAGAAAAGGCATGCAGGCTCAGGGAGGAGAGGGGCTCTAAGAGGAAGGAGGGGCTCTGAGCTGGGAAGGGGCTCCGGGACAGGAGGGGGCTTGGTGAGAGGGAAGGGGGGTTAGACAATCTCAGGGCTTAAGGACAAGAGGTGAGTGTGAGGCTCAGCCAGCAGTGCAGGCAGTAGGGTGTTGCTGTGTAATGACTGGGTCCTATAGGAGGCCTGGGTTCAGGTCCTAGCTCGGGACACAGGTGTGCATTGCCTACCCATGACCCTGGCGGTCTGGGAGGAAGGTAAGGGGGACGATTACGGAATAGTGAGACCTGGTAAGAGTACCCCTCTCCCTGTCTCCCTCTCATGAAAAAAATAAGCAGAATAAACTTTAAACTAAAATAAAGTTGTAAAAGGTAAACAGTGGAGAACTGAGAAAAGAAGGTATCTCTGTGCCTGTCTAGGAAGGGAGTCATGGGGTGGAGAGAGGGCCAAGGAGTTCCA